CTGTATATATATAATTATTACCTTTTCATATAATTTTATATTGCTTATATTTGCGATAATAGCTAAATCGTAAATGTATTGCTTTATATTGTTATTTGACTTAGCTTCCTTTGGTTAGGTAGGATGTAACATATTATGTGCTCAGTTCAAGTCTTGATTGTCTAACTACTATAATTATCGCTTGTGGCTCATTAGACTGCCGGCTTCTGTTTCTGAGCTGCAGCTGTCCACGGAGCTATCACATGATCGAGGGGGGGGGGGTGTCCCCCACCTCGCCTGAAGTATTCAGTCTGGTCTAGACTCTCTTGGTGGTTGGACAGATTGTCTGTCTCATTATTCTTGTTAGTTCTGTAGAACTCTGTTCACAGAACATTGTATAGACTTAGTGATTTTCGACGTTGTACTGAGGTTGTGTGTCGCATAGACACTCTAAACAACTCAGGTCCTGAGCTGTAGCTTCTGACCTAATTTGTACTGGTTTCTGTGTACTGTCACAGTCGGTGATTTTCTTATGCTGAACTTAGATTCAGTATTATGGAAGCTTTGTGACTTTTGTGGAGGATCTGCTGATGGTCCCTACTAGCTGTCATTATATTATCTCCTTGTTCCTGATTCTGTGTCGCAGTTGCTTGTTATATTGCTATTGGGCTTAGCATTCTTTTTATTGTTCAAGCAGACTGTTCTGACTGCCAGTTGGTCAAGAAGTTAGTTTATTTGAGGACTTTGTCAGTCACTTGTTTAAGTCTAGTCGAGTCGTGAAACATAGTGAACTACTAAGAGCACTTACACACAAACTTACTTGTACATATTTGTAATATCTTATTAAATGTTAATGTACCAGACAGTACTTAAGAATTATAAATGTGATATGTGCTTTCAGCACAATACTATTGTATACGAGAGAAGTGATATTACAGTGGACCCCCGGTTAACGAACTTTTTTCATTCTAGTAGTATGTTCAGGTGCCAGTACTGACCGAATTTTTTCCCATAAGGAATATTGTGAAGTAGATTAGTCCATTTCAGACCCCCAAACATACACGTACAAACGCACTTACATAAATACACTTACATAATTGGTCGCATTTGGAGGTGATCGTTAAGCGGGGGTCCACTGTATTTTGATTACCGTGATTAATTTAATTTGATAATATACCTCTAGACTTAATAAATTTATTAAATTTTTATTTCACTAGTTAGTAGCCTACCAGTTGTAATCCTGAAGCACTATTGAATCATACTGAATTCTAATGGATAATTGGACAAGGATACTGACTAATTGTTATGAAAGCCCAGTAACAGGCTGGATGCTAGAAGGGCAGTCCTTTCTAGTATTCACTGGAGATCTCTAAGCTTTTAGAATCGCATTTTTTTAACATATTATAATAAAAAAAATTTGAGGTAAATGTTTTACTAACTCTTACAAACGTACGTGAATGAACTAAACGTAGACACCTTAATACGCATTTATTTTGCCCACTACCTGTTCATTTTGTGTTCTTACATTGTCTCAACTCTGTATCTCGTTCTCTCTCTCGTTTACTCTTTTGTTAACTAGTTGGCCCTCATTGACGATGGCATCTAAGGTTAGCTGTGATAAAAAGAGTAGTCGTAAGCCTCTTGCTTTAAGTGCCAAGTTAGAGGATGATGGTGTGCCATTCTGATTTTATTCAATAACACCCTGCCACTCACCTCTCACACATTAATATTAATATTTTAAGGTAAGTAATAAGTGTTACTCTGTGTGTATCTTACCTTTCATTGTGTTTTAATGCCTATTTCTATTGCTAACTTAATATAAGTTAGTGTAAACTTGTTGTCTGGCATTTATTGCATATTTTATGTGCTCTGATAAAAATTTACTTGTGGAGCTGTGTGGTAGCCGGATGGAGGGACAACATTACATTTTCTCTGTTCAGCCATCAGGGGAAAACGGTGTATGAATCTGCGTTTGGCCCAGCCACTCCTCACTCCGCTTTTGTTTTACAATTTTCGGTATGAATTATTCTTTTATTCTACCTTCGTTTATGATGGCATCTAAAGGTAGTTGTTAGAAATGATTGAATTCAGTGAACACAGTATGTCGATGTTAATAATATGGCTCTGGGCCACAGTGTAGGTAGCCGGTAGGTGTAGCCCAGGCAGGCTACACCTACCGGCTACCTACACTGACTTTCTACAAATAAATACTACTCACCTCTCCTCCTATATTAAGACTACACATATTTTAAGGTAATAATGAGTGTACTGTATATGTATTTTACCTCTCTGGGATGTTTTAAATATTGTATATTAAGTATGAGACGGGGAGCCAGGGCTACCTACACCTGGGCTACCTGCACCTGACTTCCTACAAATAAATAAAACTCACCTCTCTCCTTACATTAAGATTACAAATACTTTAAGATAAGTAATGAATTTACTGTGAATGTATTTTACTTTGTTTGTTTTTTATGCCTAGTTCTATTACTAACCTAATATAATTTAGTGTAAACTTGTTGTCTGCCATTTATATGCATTTATTAAATGGAAAAAAATGGCGTTCTGCCTTCCGGCGATGTCTGCTTTCCAACGACAGCCTGGAACCTAACCCGCCGTATAAGTGGGGCCCTACTGTACTTGTAAACATGGTGTGCAAAGGGAGTGGGTGTCGCATAGGTCATTTCTGGGCAGACATCAAAGAACTGTCGTCAGTAGGATGTCTAGAACTTTTTAGTAGTAAATATCGCAGGCAGTCTGACCTGAGGGAGGTGGGCGATCCAAAAACTGTCACACCGTATTCGGGGAAGCTAGATGCATTTGTTAAAGGCATGCAAGCAGCAGCAGCATTAACAGAAACGGGTGGCGCCCCAGCACCTAAAGCAGGTGACAGAGCATCACCAGCAAAGGTACAGGGGTATGGGAAGAGTCTAGAGAATGGTCCAACAACAAGCCGAGTCTGAACAGGATGTAGGATCAGAAAGGGGCCTGGGAGGAGGAGGGTTATCACTGAACGAAGACTTCATGATAGTGGTGCTTCTTCCATGTTATCTTCTTTCTTGTTATTTTACAGAAAAAAAGAAAGAAGGAAAGAAAAAAAAAAAAGAGACAGCAGAGGGAGTCGCTAGAAGGCATGGAAGGGTCGTAAGTTCCTCCCCTCATTGAGGGGAGGGCCTCAAGCCCACGAGCAATGAAGATGCAGCATGGAACCCATGCCATACCCTACCCTTCATGCTAGTAAACCAGTGCTCTGGAAGAGCAGCCTCATATCCACAAAGTCACCTCGGTGGACAAAAGAAAGGGCAGTCGGAAACCCGCCACAAAGCATACCTCCTTCGGCTGCCACCTCCCAGAACCAGCAGGCAGCTTCTGGAGATACACCCATCATCTGCAGGACACCCCACCCACTTCTTCGAAATCCAGGAATGGAGCACAGCACCTCAGACAATTCAGATTCCCAAACCCCGAGGGACCTCAGGGAGTGGGACGAACCCCAGCACACTTCGCCCTACCTAGAAACTGTAATGCCAGAGGGGAGGACCCCAGATACTACAAACAGGATGGAGAAAGGGAAGGGTTGAGAGAGGAAGGAAAGGGAAAAAAGGGGGGGGGGATGGGATAGGGAAGGGAGGATTGGGGAGTACTTGGACTCGGTAAGAGGAAAGAGACCAAAGAATTTGATTCCTGAGACCAAGAGCCTCTTTGCCACAGCAAGGAGCCCCCCTTCATTGAAGAGGTGTTAGTATCATAAATTATACTACCTCATATTAATAATAGAGTAAAATACTGAATATTTGTAATCTACCACTCTTCACCTGTCTAGACTTAAGCAGTCTATGCATTAGGTTAAATCTGCCCAAAATGCCTCAGCATGACAGTGGCTTTCTTTGTACCAATCAAATTATGAAGTGTAAGCACACATTGTAACTTAGCAAAGAAATAAAGTTTTTATCTGATTTTTCATTTACCGTTAAGCATCAGAGGCTGTAGTCTCCCTGTATCTGTGGGTGATACGCTCCAAGACCTAATGGAGATGCCTCACATCGCAAATAGTAGCAAACCCTATACAAACCCTACATACAAACTATAATGAAGTTTAAATGATAAATTATGCACTCAGACAATACAATGGTGATGGTTGGGGATCATCAATAGTAATATGGTTTGTTTTTCAACCTTTTGGAAAAACATCGTGATAGGAAGTTGTTTCTCTCTTCTCAGCTCATCAAACATTTGCTGAAGAGGTTCTAATGCTTTGGTGGTTATGTAGGTGACTTCAACGTGCAATTTGAAACTTATGATTTGTTTATTTCTGGAATTTTTCATTTAATATTTTTGGGGCAAACATTAAACCACAGACAGCTGAAAACCACAAAAAACTGAATCAATTAAACCACTACACTAACAACTGCCATCTGTTTAACACTCCAGTCTTAATCCCATCCATTTCTGCTGTTCCTGTTTCAAACTTTTTTATTGCTTTACTTACTGCATTCACACAATTTCAGATTACTTAATTCTAATATTGTAGTACACCAAATTCCTACTCCTCCTAAGTATTAACCCTTAAACTATCCAAATGTTGATCTACGCTGACATACGTAGCTCTCCAATTGTAGACCTACATTATTTTTACACAAGAAAGCATGTAAAATCGGACGTAGATCTACGTCCAGAGCACTAAGCACGTGAATGAAGATCTATGTTTGGACAGTTTAACATTTAAACTGTCCAAATGCATATCTATGTTCACGTGCGTAGCACTCTGAACGTAGATCTACTTTTTTTTTACATGCTTTCAAATGGAAATAAATAAATAAATAAATGGAGAAAATAAATGTCGGAGCGCTACGTATGTGAACGAAGATCTACGTTTGGACAGTATAAGGGTTAAGTAAGTATTCCATTTAATCATCTGCATTCAAAAATCAATGAAAGCATTTGCCCTATCTTTCAAAGCATATCAATCATCATCCAGTAGAGGCAAACAATGTATACACACATGAAATTTTTGAACTTACCTCTTTTCAACAGCACTAATAAAATCAGTGAACTCTGGGAATGGAGTGCCTTTTCCCCATATTCCTAATCGAACCATGTATGCCATATTCTTTGGTTCCGAAGCTCCTGTCGCAGATGCATAAACGACACGTGCCTTAGGCAATCTAGTTTGCAATTCTAAAAACAGTTAACCCTGTTTTAGTTGGTTTCCTGACCCAACCCGGGCTTAGATTTTTAGCTCGATGGGATTCATCAAACACAATCTGAAAAAAAAAAAAAAAAATACAGTAAATTAAACTGTTCACCTTTACAAAACTAACTAACTCTCTCTCTCTCTCTATATATATATATATATATATATATATATATATTTTTTTTTTTTTTTTTTTTTTTTTTTTTTTTCAACAAGTCGGCCGTCTCCCACCGAGGCAGGGTGACCCAAAAAAGAAAGAAAATCCCCAAAAAGAAAATACTTTCATCATCATTCAACACTTTCACCACACTCGCACATTATCACTGTTTTTGCAGAGGTGCTCAGAATTACAACAGTCTAGAAGCATAAACATATAAAGATACACAACAATATCCCTCCAAACTGCCAATATCCCAAACCCCTCCTTTAAAGTGCAGGCATTGTACTTCCCATTTCCAGGACTCAAGTCCGACTATATGAAAATAACCGGTTTCCCTGAATCCCTTCACTAAATATTACCCTGCTCACACTCCAACAGATCGTCAGGTCCCAAGTACCATTCGTCTCCATTCACTCCTATCTAACACGCTCACGCACGCTTGCTGGAAGTCCAAGCCCCTTACCCCCAAAACCTCCTTTACCCCCTCTCTCCAACCCTTTCGAGGACGACCCCTACCCCGCCTTCCTTCCCCTATAGATTTATATGCTTTCCATGTCATTCTACTTTGATCCATTCTCTCTAAATGACCAAACCACCTCAACAACCCCTCTTCTGCCCTCTGACTAATACTTTTATTAACTCCACACCTTCTCCTAATTTCCACACTCCGAATTTTCTGCATAATATTTACACCACACATTGCCCTTAAACAGGACATCTCCACTGCCTCCAACCGTCTCCTCGCTGCTGCATTTACCACCCAAGCTTCACACCCATATAAGAGTGTGGTACTACTATACTTTCATACATTCCCTTCTTTGCCTCCATAGATAACGTTTTTTGACTCCACATATACCTCAACGCACCACTCACCTTTTTTCCCTCATCAATTCTATGATTAACCTCATCCTTCATAAATCCATCCGCCGACACGTCAACTCCCAAGTATCTGAAAACATTCACTTCTTCCATACTCCTCCTCCCCAATTTGATATCCAATTTTTCTTTATCTAAATCATTTGACACCCTCATCACCTTACTCTTTTCTATGTTCACTTTCAACTTTCTACCTTTACACACATTCCCAAACTCATCCACTAACCTTTGCAATTTTTCTTTAGAATCTCCCATAAGCACAGTATCATCAGCAAAAAGTAACTGTGTCAATTCCCATTTTGAATTTGATTCCCATAATTTAATCCACCCCTCTCCCAAACACCCTAGCATTTACTTCCTTAACAACCCCATCTATAAATATATTAAACAACCATGGTGACATTACACATCCCTGTCTAAGACCTACTTTTACCGGGAAATAGTCTCCCTCTCTTCTACACACCCTAACCTGAGCCTCACTATCTTCATAAAAACTCTTTACAGCATTTAATAACTTACCACCTATTCCATATACTTGCAACATCTGCCACATTGCTCCTCTATCCACTCTATCATATGCCTTTTCTAAATCCATAAATGCAATAAAAAACTTCCCTACCTTTATCTAAATACTGTTCACATATATGCTTCAATGTAAACACTTGATCTACACATCCCCTACCCACTCTGAAACCTCCTTGCTCATCCGCAATCCTACATTCTGTCTTACCTCTAATTCTTTCAATTATAACCCTACCGTACACTTTTCCTGGTATACTCAGTAAGCTTATTCCTCTATAATTTTTACAGTCTCTTTTGTCCCCTTTCCCTTTATATAAAGGGACTATACATGCTCTCCGCCAATCTCTAGGTACCTTCCCCTCTTTCATACATTTATTAAACAAAAATACCAACCACTCCAACACTATATCCCCCCCTGATTTTAACATTTCTGTTATAATCCCGTCAGTTCCAGCTGCTTTACCCCCTTTCATTCTACGTAATGCCTCACGCACCTCCCCCACACTCACATCCTGTTCTTCTTCACTCCTAAAAGATGGTATACCTCCTTGGCCAGTGCATGAAATTACCGCCTCCCTTTCTTCGTCGACATTTAAAAGTTCCTCAAAATATTCTCGCCATCTACCCAAAACCTCCGTCTTCCCATCTACTAACTTCCCTACTCTGTTTATAACTGACAAATCCATTTGTTCCCTAGGTTTTCTTAACTTGTTTAACTCACTCCACAACTTCCACAACCACCTTTCAATATCCAGTACCCACCAACAGACTGCAGCAAGGTGCCAAGTTTGTTCCCAATCCCCATGACTTTGATGAAACACAAAGTGGAATACGGCCATCATGCACACTTGGGAACAATACCACCAAACTGGAATGCTTTCAGTAATTCTTCGATGAACCCCTGATGGAAATCGTCAGGGAAAGCAACACATGCTGAGTACACCATGGAAAATACAACTCTTTCACCAAGGTCATGGCTACACCAGTGGAAGGACACAACTGTGGCAGAGATGTACCTGTTCTTTCCCACAATAATGCTTATGCCACATATGTATAAACACACTGTTACCACATGCTAGTCGACGGAACGCCTAATTTCAACCCCAGGTTTTAGTGATGTTATACCAGTGAATCGATTTTTGATACTGTTATGCTACACTTCTCAGACAAAACAAGGCCTGACAGAAACAACAGGTTATATAAGATCAGGAATGTGCTCATGTACCTGAAACAAAAGTGCTGTATGTATTTTTATCCCTTCAGGAAGCTTGTTATTGATGAGTCCTTGATTTTGTTCAAAGGCAGACTGTTGTTCAAGCAGTATATATCAAGAGGAAATGCTCTGGTATAAAGTTATTTGTACTGTGTGATTGCAAAAGTGGTCTGGTTTTGGATATACGTAATTGTGTACACTGGCAGTAACACACTGAGAGATACCACGAAGTTATTGGGTATCTCTAGTGATGTGGTTAGAACAATGAAGGAAACATATCTTGGTAAGGGGCATACATTATTTACTGATAACTGGTATGCAAGCCCCTTACCCAATGATTTCTTGCGAGTGAACATGACAGACGTATGTGGCACAGTGCGTGGAAATCATAAGCATATGCCTAGGTTCGACACAGGCACTCACAGAGGTGAGGTGCAAGTCTTTGATGCCAATGACATCATGGCATTTAAGTGGCATGACAAACTTGATGTCACATTGTTGACATCAGTTCACCAAAATGAAATGGCAGACAGTGGCTGGAAGAATAGAGAGACCAATGAACCCATTCTAAAACCTGCAGCTGTGGACTACAACCTCAATATGCACTTAGTGGACAAATGTGACATGCAGATTGGGTTTGCTGATTGTGTTCGGAGGAGTTATAAGTGGCACATAAAACTTTTTTTCCATCTTCTTGACATTTCCATGCTGAATGCTTATAACATGTACAAGTTGAAGACCAACACCAAACCCAAATATGGCGAATTTTGTTTGTCAGTCATCAGACAAACAATATTCAACTATCAAGGAGCAACACCTGAAATAGACCAGCACCCACGAAATTACCAACACATGCCATCTCGTCTGAGGCCTGGTGATCACTACCCCATACAAATGCCTCCTACTAATGTCAAGAAAAGTACTCAGAAGAGGTGTTTTGTCTGTGCACATACCACAAAACGCCCACAAAAATGCAGAGACATCGTTTTATGTGTAAGAAGTGTAAAACTCTACTGTGCATAACACCATGTTTCAAAGACTCCCACAAGCTGCAGCAGTTCTAGGAAAGTGTTCAGTGACTTAACATTTGTATGTATATAATAGAACAATAGTAATAAAAATTTTTTTGTATTGATGGTTTGTGTAAACAAGTTCTGTAAACAATATAATAATGATAATGATTGTGCAGTTATTGTGTTGTATACAATGAGTGTACATTTGTACATTGCACCTACTTTGGTCTCACAGGCCACATAAGTTACTTAGAAAAAAAAAAAATATTTCAAAATACAATGGAACCTCTACATACGAGTGCATCCATGTGTGAGTTTTTCCAGATATGAGCAGCTGCTCGGTAGATTATTTGCATCCAGACGCGAGCAAAATTTCCAGATGCGAGCAGGTCTCAAAGAGGTTAATTGACACTGGTGAGGGGGCTCTTGCTCTTGATCTAGGGAATTGGATCTCAGTTGTTTGTTGGACTATCTTATTGAAATTTGGGCAATGTATGATGAAAAGATGCTTCTTAACGTACACCAAAAATGAAAGAAATCGGACCGTAAATAACAGAGTTCACTTCTCAGCCATTAGCCTCCCCATAGCGGTATATTTTAGTATGGTTTTTATGGTTGTATTCTCATTTTATTTGGTCTCATATGATAGAATAGAAGATTTTTCATTAATTTTTTTTATTAACACACTGGCCGATTCCCACCAAGGCAGGGTGGCCCGAAAAAGAAAAATTTTCACCATCATTCATTCCATCACTGTCTTGCCAGAAGGGTGCTTTACACTACAGTTTTTAAACTGCAACATTAACACCCCTCCTTCAGAGTGCAGGCACTGTACCTCCAATCTCCAGGACTCAAGTCCGGCCTGCCGGTTTCCTGAATCCCTTCATAAATGTTACTTTGCTCACACACCAACAGCACGTCAAGTATTAAAAACCATTTGTCTCCATTCAATCCTATCAAACACGCTCACGCATGCCTGCTGGAAGTCCAAGCCCTCGCACACAAAACCTCCTTTACCCCCTCCCTCCAACCTTTCCTAGGCGACCCCTACCCCACCTTCCTTCCACTACAGACTGATACACTCTTGAAGTCACTCTGTTTCACTCCATTCTCTCTACATGTCTGAACCACCTCAACAACCCTTCCTCAGCCCTCTGGACAAACAGTTTTGGTAATCCCGCACCTCCTCCTAACTTCCAAACTACGAATTCTCTGCATTATATTCACACCACACATTGCCCTCAGACATGACATCTCCACTGCCTCCAGCCTTCTCCTAGCTGCAA